GTTTTTGTTATCTATTATGACTTCCATTCTCCTCTATTCCCTCTGAGTACCTTTTAAGCTGTTTTCTAAACTCCTATGTTATTCTTTGAACTAATTATAATGTGTGGCTTACACTATTCTGCCAGCTCAATTCTCCCTGGATTGGCTTTGAGAGATCTGTGAGTCTTGGGAGGAATTTTATTGCCTTGTCTTCTTGTTTTTATTGTTTATTTTGTTTTTTACTGAGGTTTGTGGATGCTTATAGCCTAAAGATCTTATTTCTACTGTAAAGATCTCTTTATTTGCTTTTCAATGATGTACTTTGGGCATAGATAACTATAGCCCTTGGTCACAGATACAGGATCTGAGCACCCTGGTTAATTTAGGAGGAGAGGATTCAGTGTAGTTATTCCAACAACCAAGTTCTCTGGGAATGTATTGTAGTTTTATTAAAGTACAAATTAATCTGAGTGTTGCCTTGCAGAGCAGTAGTGACATTATGCTATCTTATTTATAACAGTGAATAAGTTACAGTAGTCTTGTTATGGTTTGGATCTAAATGTCACCCCAAAAGCCCCACGTTGTCTCAGGCTTTATCTAGAGTGTGTGAAACTGGAATTGATTCATGATGCCATGCTATGCTCAAGCCCACTAGAATTAAGGGTGTAAGTGCTACCCACCCTCAGTAGTATAAAAAAGACAAAAGGGGCAGGGAGACACTGTTAACTCTGTTGTTACCTTTGCTACCTTGTGTGTGCCATTTTGTTTCTGCTCTGCTGTACCTGTTTATCATCGCTACCTTGGAGTTGGCTGATTATGGACTGAAGCCTCTATGAACTGTAAGCCAAATAAACCCATCTCCCTTTCACTTTGGGTACCTGATGTTTTGTCTCAGCAACGAGGAAATATTAACTAACACAAGTATCATCCAAGACAAACTAGATAGTAATGTGTCATAAGAACCAATCATGTACAACATCCTAGAAATCTAAGTTTTGATGTAAATATTAAGACAACCCAGGAATTGATTCACAATTAATATACAATAGTAGAATTGCATCTGCAATGGTAAAATTACAATCTACTCTTGGTAGAAAATAATTCAACAGTAATTTTACAGTGTTAGCTATCAAAACATTAACAAATTTTTATGGTTATACTATTAAAGATATAGCACTTGGGTATGGTAGAATTCAAGGAGAAAACTTTTAAACTTTAAAAATTATGATATGAGAAGGATGGTACATAGGATCTTTTGGGGAAGTATAAGGATATTTATGGTACCAGGTAAAGGTAACGAAAAAACTAGCAAAAAAAATAGATAGGAGAAAAAGGAGGGCCAGAAAAAAAATATATAAGGAGTATAAATAAAAGATGAATAACTTAAAGAAAAAATTAAGAGAGAAACCAAAAACGAAAATATAAGTGTGAAAAGAGATAAAAAAAGGATGAAGGACAAAGTAAATTTCCCAAGACTCAGGAAACGAGTGAAAAAGAAAGGAGGGAAGGAAAATAAAAAGGCCATAACAAAACTAAAAACAATGAACACATTCACAAAAACAAAAACAAACAAATAAAAAGGAAACAAACAAAAGCCAAACACAAAAATAAAATAAAAAGAAATTTCTCTGTAATCTCAAATGTGTAGTTTTCTTCTGCGATCTACAATTTTGGGACTGTGTCCAACTCAAGATGGGTCATTATTCATGCTAGGAGAAAAATAAGGCAGTCAGATCTCAGATTTATGCTGGATGTAGTTACCAGCAGGCAGTAGGATTAGAAGAAGAATGCCAATTCTGTAACATTTAGAACTAGGGTGATTCAGGCTGAGCCTGGACTCTGGCCATGGAAATGAAATCTGAGTCTTTAAACTGTGCTGAGATTCTTTTTCCAGCTTGACCATGGCTCCATGACCATAGCTGTTTCCTGTGTCTGTTGCTCACCAGTCACTGATGAGTGTAACACTGAGAGTCCTGAACTGAAGCCTACCCATGGCTGCTCTGAGTCCTGGGTTCAGTCAACCTCTCCTTGGAATGGTGTCTGACCACACTCTCCAGGGGATATGGTAAGCACTTGGACTGGAGTCATCCACTGGCTTTTGTAGCAGCACCTGGAGGTCCATTCCACTGCTATAGTTCTCCCTGAAGCCATCAGGAGTCTTATACTCTCACTGTGTCTTCCTTTCTCATGAGCCATGAGCCAGGTACAAAAAAAAAAAAAAAAAA